CGTCTAACTCCTAAATCAATCTCCTTAATCCTAAAGTCGACATGAAGTAAGTGTAGGGGAAGGCGTCACTGAAGGTTCTCATGATTACGTAACCAATTCGCGATCCATCCGAAATGATCGTCTTTCTGTTCGAGCGCACCTTAGCTCCGTCTTCAGTGAACATTGTGTCTTATTAAACGATCAGGAACTGGTTACCTGCGAAAAACACCACGATTATACTAGCTGGTGTCTCATTATTAGTTCCTGTTGAGTTCTTGTGCGCAACTTAGTTATTCGCGGTGGTTCCCCCTGTGTTTCTAGCTCTTAACCTCCAAACATTGTGTTTCAGTGCTCATGAAAATCCGGTCCAGCAGGAAGACCAAGATCTCGCTGCCAATTTTTGGCCCGCCCTTCTATTCAAAAAATAGGGGGAGGGCCTATGCATTTGCCTTTGTGTCTGTGTGTTGTTGTTGTTGTTGTTGTTGTTGGCGTCTGTGTACAAGGAAGGAGTTGAGCTAGAGTAACCAGATTTGGAGGGTACTTCAGGAGTACCGTCCAAACAAATAATCCGGTGGTGCAAATCCCGTCCGGGTCGCACAAGGGCTGCTGCAGGTGCATCATGGTTAACATGAGCGGGAGGGGGATTTCCGCCATTATTGGTGCTAGCAGGGCACATAGGGGTATTTTTGGAATCGGGGCGACGAGACAAGATGAATGGACCTGGTCTCGACCCCATCGGCCGCTTTTACAAGTTGGCCGGATCAGGATCTTCAAAAAAGAGGGTCGACCGACTAAAAAAATTTATTGCAGATTTCGATTGGTCTCAGCAAGACCTTTTCAACGAGGGGTCGGAAAGGGGGTCCAGGAGCCCGACTTCGTCTATTAGTCACATCAGGATCTTGAAAAAAGGGAGTCGACCGACTGAAAATTTTAACTTAAGTTTTGGATAGGTCTTGGCAAGACCTCTTCAACGAGGGGTCGGAAGGGGGGTCCAGGAGCCCGCCTTCATGAGTTATGGGAAAAAGTGCGACGGACTCGTTTTGCGCTCCTGCTGTGCCTCTATTGCAAGGAGTTGCAGTAGCATGGCAAATATTGGTATTTTCGGAATGAGGGCGATGAGACAAATGAAACGGGCATATTCTAAGGACAGTTGGAGTAAAAAGTGTAAGGACCATTGCATATTGTGAATAGAAGGGAGGGCCTAAGTCACGATGGTACATCGATAACTTTGCTTTACCCGCTCACGGTGTGTGTGATGCGAGCGGGCCGATGGCCCGGGCCTTCGACTGGCCAAGTTGGGTCTGATGCGAGGGCCGAAGGCCCGAGAAAAGGCTGCCGGCAGGCCAAGCTGGGCCGGCCCCCTGTCGAACCGAGTTGCCGGCGCAGCGAAGCGGAGCTGGCAACTCGGTTCGACGGAAGGGCGGGCCCTAGCTTGTTTTCATTGATCTGTTTCAGGCGTTTTATTGTGATTTCTTTCCGTTTCTTTCTCTTAAACCTTTTGAAACTATAACTGATTCCCTCCTCTCACACACTATGCGATAGATCTAAGATGCCTAAACTATTCTGTTGAAAGGTTGCTCCCAACTTATACTTAACTCTCACTATTTGGATCTCATTGAGCATCTAGTCTGTGAAGTTTGACCAAACTCTCTCCTTTTCTGCAGCAATCGCAGCACCTGGAATGGCGCCTGAAAATCCACAAGATGTCGCTGTGGTGCCTGTCGAAGTCCCAGCTCCACAAGCTGCTCAAGTGGCGAGTGAAATCAATCACAGTGCACGTAAGTATAATAGTGTGTTCATGTTGCTTATGACTTTGGATGTATTACTGTAATATTTCTGTTCATCTACAGGAATGCTGTGTGCACTTTGTCATCAAAATGAATTCAACTGCATTCTACGCTGCTACCACATGTTCTGTACCACATGTGTGAACCGCATTATTGAAATTATGATGGTACCAAGATGCCCAAGATGCCAACGGAAATTTTCTTCTTGGGATGTCGTCTTAACCGGCTAGGAGGTTCCTAATATAACTTGCTTACACTGTAAATCCAATGGCAGTACTTTTGGTACCTTTTTTGGCGATACAATCAAGTATCGCCAATAAACGGCCTTACGGAAAAGTATTGCCTTCAAAACGACGATACACAAAAGTATCGCCAAAATTTGGCGATACTTCGAAGTATTGCCACAATTTGGCAGTAAACGTTGATCAAATCAAGGGGACAAGTTCTTAGGTCAATGCCGTGGTTGTGGCAATACCACAAAGTATCGCCAAATTTTGGCGATACTTTTGTGTATTGCCGTTCTGATGGCAATACTTTTTCGTAAGGCCGTTTATTGGCGATACACAATTGTATCGCCGAAAAATGTACTTAAGTATCGCCTTTGCATTTGCAGTGTATATCTTTGATCAGGGATGTGCAGTTAGGGTGTTAGGGTGGCTAGGGGCCTTTTCTGGTTTAAAATCTCATCTTTGGCAGCCTAATCTAAATTAATCTCTTCCAAATTACTTCAAAGCAGCACTTTTTAGGGAACCCTATGCAGTCAGTTTAGTTGCAGGCTGTCACCTTGATATTGTCTCCTTTATGTTGTCACCTTGATAGTCTGCAAGTGAACTGGCTGATTTTTTTAAAATATTTTTTTTTAAGTCTTTAACTCTTGAACTACTTACGATCACGAACTGCTGTTAAATTTCAAAGTCCTGCTCGCTAACCTTAGGGTGGGGGGTCCATAAGTGAAGGTGATTCACTTCCCCTAGAGCAGGCATTCGGGCTCTTGCTCCGGGGTGGGGCCTGGAGGAAGCCAAGGGTTAACACCCCTTGGTGATCTGTTACCCTACCAGTGGCCTCCAGGCGCCTCACACTAACGCCACCCAGAGTCGATGGAGAAGAGTAACCATTCAATAGTCAAACCCCTAGCCAAACAATTTAAGTCTCCGGACACGTTAGTTTTCTTCTTCCTAACTGTACATCTCTGTATCTATTTTCTTACCTTCTTTTCGTTTCTTTCACTCTTTGTTTTTTAAAGGGTGCGAGTGATTTTGTGACATGTATTCTGAAAAATTAAGCTTGATGATTTTGATCTTTCTGTTGAGTTCTAAGTATTCTTTATTCTGACTTGTAGCCCTAAGTGATGGCTTCCACTTGTTCCAATAGTTGCGAGTGTTTTCTTTTAACCTGTATTCTGATATCTTTAGCTTGATGATTTTGATCTCTCTGTTGAGTTTTAAGTATTGTTTATCCAGACTTGTAGCCCTAAGTGATGGCTTCCACTTGTTCCAATAGTTGCGAGTGTTTTCTTTTAACCTGTATTCTGATATCTTTAGCTTGATGATTTTGATCTCTCTGTTGAGTTTTAAGTATTGTTTATCCAGACTTGTAGCCCTAAGTGATGGCTTGCAATTTTTCCAATAGTTGCGAGTGATTTTGTGACATCTATTCTGAAATATTTAGCTTGATGATTTTGATCTCTCTGTTGAGTTCTAAGTATTCTTTATTCTGACTTGTAGCCCTAAGTGATGGCTTGCAATTGTTCCAATAGTTGCGAGTGTTTTCTTTTAACCTGTATTCTGAAGTATTAAGAAGTTATGAGATTTAAGTAAACAATGTTCTCAACATCTGTATTACTGATTAAAGAAAACACACTCCCTATCTCCTTGTGACATGGCAAGCCGAGTCAAATCAAAATCTCACTCAATTACAACACACCAGCAGCGCTTCGACCATGTCAAGCAGCAAGCCAGCTTTCAACAAACTTGAGTACCTGTTTGGGTTCTAGTACTCACATGAAACTCAGACTTTATTAGAGACCCTTCAGTGCTTTATTATCTGGCTTATTTTTCTAGGCTTCTGCTCAGCCTTTGAGAAAAGGGAATGAAGAACATCATTTCAACAGAACTAACATTTTTAATTTAAAAAAAGTTGAAATGAACAAGAAGTATGTAGCTGAATCATAGCAGGATGAGATGAACTCTGGCGACTGGTCTTTCGAATTCTTGACAATGTTGTCCTTCAGAGAACCAGAAAAGACATAGTGACGCAGGGTTATTTGGTTGATTATACATGTTCGATGAGGGAAAGGAATGATGACACAGGCTCTTGTATGAAACACAAACTAGAATTAAAGGAGCTGTTAAATACTTTTTAAATTAAATCAGAGTCCAACCAGGCAGTGAACACGACATTGAGAAAGATATTACGAATGTTACCCACAGCAGAAGCAACACTTGTCTACTGCTAATGGCGCCCGTCATGTAACACCCATGGCGAGTAGACGCGATCAAGTGGTGCACACAAGTAATTTGTTTTGTTAAAAAATCAACACTCACCGAGGTATGAGACGTTCGTTGCCGCGGGAACGGTTGTAGCAAAATAAATTGATTGATTAAATGAATGGACATGAACCTTGTTTACGTTTGCGGCCATTACAGTTTAGTGATGGCGACTGTCAACTGTCCCTCTGGACACGATTCACATTCGAAACGGAGCCGAACACGCCCGAGTGGCCTGGCTTCCGGTGTCTATAGCGCGAAGTAGAGACTTTTCAAATGGTGTTGCATCTTAGGTGAAACTTGTTTAAACAATGTATTGGATGTTGCTCTTCTTACGTTCTTCAATCACAAAGTATTGCATTACATTGCTACTAACATCTTATTTGACTTTAAAATACCCTATTTACATAACTTATATAAGTATACAAACATTGTTATGCATGTACATACATAACTTATGCATGTACATACATAACTTATACAAGTATGTAAACATAGTTATTTATATACATAGAATAGATAAATACGACCGGAGAACCGCACGCCGGAGAAACGAGCCGCCCCCGTGTGTTATAGAACTGTCAGTAATGGCAATAAAAAGTTTTTCAATTTTTTAAATTTTTTTCACATTTTTTGAATGATCTGTTCCTATTATCTGAGGTTGGTAGTACTGGAAAGCGCGAATATACGAAAATCGATTTACAACAATCACTGCAAGTGTATGTGTTGTGCTTCTGCCTACTGAAAAATGGCTAATCCTGATCAGATTGAGAATGGAAATCCAAAAGTGGATGAGGGATTAGAGGATCATGACGAGGAGGAGCATAATTACAATATGCTCTATCCGGAACCTAGTGAAAAGTTGGTAAAAGTTCCGGCTAATTTTGTGCACAACCATGTGAATACTAAACTTGGCAGAAATGTGTCACTGCAGGGCAAATTGTTGTTTCCATGTGTGATTAAGAGGGCTATTGAATTGTTTGAAAAATTTAAATGTAAAGGGTGCAATGGTGGGCATCAATGGACAGGGGCTGGTGAGTTTATATTATGGTCTGTGATTACCTAAAATCATTATTTTATGTGGTTATTCTAATACCATATTATTTTGGTTTTGATAGGTGGATATGGAGCGTATCTTGCTGGGCTGACAGTTGAATTCAGTGACATTGATGTCTTCATTAATTGTACTCGGCTTCTTGGTGGGGACACCTTAAATCTGAAGGTAGCGAAGATTAAGACGAATGCGAATGTATCAACAGTCTATTGGAAGCCGCAATATCCTAGACCTGTGGTGCAGTTTATTCAAGTACGTATTAATGTGTTTAAATGTAGTATAAGTGTTTAAATTATTGTTCTATTATATTATTTTTTTAATAGGTGACATTTGAGATCGGTCTCCCAAAGAGTATTGCGTCCTCAGACAGAACGTATCGTGAGCTTATGGCAATGTATGTCATTTCAAAATTTGACTTGCCTATTACCCGTGTAGCGGTAATCTTGCCTCTTACCGAATTGAAAAGAGGATATATAATAGATGGATCTTCATTTGATATTTATAAAACCCCTACTTCTGTTGATCGGTGGGTAAAATATGAGGAACGGCGTGTTCAGGACATCAAACACCAGGTGCCCTGTTTGCAGTTGGGTGATTCCGCGCGTAGAGGGCGTTTTCGTGTCCACACCCTCCCCAGACCGAACTTATTCGAGTGCAGTCCATTTATACACTTAAGAATCTTGTTTGGCACTAGAATAGCTTGTTCCCTTTGTATACGGACTTTCAAAGCTGACATGTGACGCGGGAGAGGGGCCAAAAGGGTCGATTTTGTAAGTTCCGTCATGTCCATTCGCACCTTACACCAACTTTACGGCTCTGTAACCCTTTGTTCCATTCAAATCTTCGAATTCCACACACACCCATCAAATCTCTAACTAATAGTGACTATCTTGCTTGAATTTAAAGATCGTATATTGACTGGAACGGTACTTTCAGAACGCGTACTAAATGTCCACCGTACTCCGACTTTTACCTTAGCGGTTTCAAAGTAAGCACCAAAAAAACTACTAGGAGTGCTCCCTGCTCAAAACCACCGCCGTATTTAGAATCAGCACGGTCTGTTTATCATGTGAACGAGTTTCGGTGACGAAAAAGTGAGAGGGGTGAGTGTGCGAGTGGAAGTTGTGTGTGAAATCGGTGGGTTGTAACAATTGCTGTAATTTCCGTATGCCCCTCTCGCTCCTCGTCTATTAGGTTTTGAAAGACATCCTACACGTGAAAAGATGTGTCTTGACGTCAAACTAGTGTGCCAAACTTATGGCATATTTCTGTGGCGATATGCAGTTGCAGTGAGCCAGAAACACCTGTTTGTAATTTCCGTGAAGCGTAATTTCCGTCATATTTTCAGTTAATTTCGTCATATTTTATAGGGGGAGAAAACGAAAGTCAACTTTTAGCTCGCCCACGCTCAGAGTGTCTTCCTGGGGTTCAATTGATGCCATCTAGGCCAAATTCCGGCCAAACAAGCAAGATTGATTTCTTGACTTACGAAGGTGGCTAAAACGGCCTCTACGCACGGAATCACCCAGTTATGTGTTGTTTTGAAATTGATGAACATGTTTTATAGTGGATTGTCATTATGAATGACAAAATGTTTATCATGCAATATTGTGTGTATATCTATATGTTGTATGTTCTAAATTTTATAATTTGCATGAATCAGTAATGAATTTTATATTCATTGTCAATATGACAGGGGGTGACCATTATGATTGACAAAATGTCTACAAATAAATTATTTACATGTTGTATTTTCTAAATTTGATAGTTTACATATAGTAGTAAAAATTCATATAATGATTTTCATTTTAGTGTATTGAAATAAATCAAAGTTTAATGAAGAAATAATGTATATTTCTAAAATTTGTATTGTAAAGAATAAACTTTGAAAATTTCACGTATGAGAATAAATCTTTAAGAATTATATATTTAATATGTATTCGCATATGAATTCCTGCACTGTTTCATCCAACAGGCGCTACGTTGTGAAGCCATTCCACGTCATATCTCTCCCTTTTCAGTCAGGCAGCCCCCGTCCTTGTCCCTGTGCCAACCCCCGCTCCCGTCCCTGTCCTCGCCCCCGCCACTGTTCCCACCCCCGTCCCCACGCCTGCGCCTTCGCAAGGCAAGTATGAAGAAGGCATATAGTTTTGAAATACTTAAGGCACACCAGTGCTTCGAAGTAATTTTGGGCCCTGTGTGTGCAAGGACTGCTGGGCGTGTGCGAAGACGGTCCCTCTGACGAGGTAGTGGCGCTGTGGTGGCGGCCGGCGGCAACCTGGTGCGCCGATTCCCGCAAAGAGGCCCTCCTCGGTGGGGCGTTCAGCGCGGCGGCGGGCACGGAGTCGGGGAGCGGGTTGCCGGGACGCACCAGCCTCCAGGACCCTGAGGACGCTGCTGCAACCGGACCCCAAGCACGAGGGGACGTCCCAGCGGACCTCCCGACAGGACCTCCCACGGGGACGTCTTTTAACACTCCCGTCACTAGCGCGCCGTCTCTCGGCTCGCTCTCAAGCTACCTGGAGCGCGACTGAACACGTTGAACAATATGATTAGGTTAAAAGAGACTAGTGCTATAATAAAACTGGAATAGAATACTGATTTAGGTACACTTTAAATGAGATCAACTCAGACACTGCACTGCAACTCCTTGCTTGTGTTGCACACATGGACCGGACCCGGCGGGGCGGGGCGTCCCGAGCGGCTCCAAAGCATAGACTGACCCGTGTGAGTGCGAAACAGAGCGAGAAGTGCGGGTAGCGGCGGAGCGCCGCCTGGGAGGTAGGCCGGCCCGCCGCGCTTGCCTGATTAACAGGTCGGCCTACCTCCCAGGCGCTCTGCCCGCCGCCAGGCGCCCTTCTTTGAGGTCGTGGTGAACATGGGACCGGCACGACGTGCGGCTTCGCGCTGTGTTCGTCAGGCTGTAGAAGCGGCGCGTCACCAGAGATGTGCGACAACCCGCGCAGCAGGCGACACTGGACGACCGGGCCGGGTCCAGCGACACCAGCAGGTGGGTGAGATGCATCCGGGCTGACTTTCGAGCTGAAAGAGTGTTCTTTATGGCTCCTTGCTTTGCCCAGGCCGCCGCAGCACGACTGCAGCGCTGCGGTATCAAGAAAAGATTTTCTGCTCGTTTTTCTCATTGTTGGTAGCCGGGCGGCCGTAAAGCTGGCACCGCGAGTTGCTGTGCCACCGCGATGACGCGGGCCTTGCCGCCTTGCCTTTAGCATCCATCCACAAGGTGGTGCATGCGCCCCGTCGCCCCGCGCGTGCTGCTAGCTCGCAGCCAGGAAGGCAGGGGCGCAAGGGGTGTCCACAGTAGAGTCCGGACTTCCAGCGAATCTGGCTGGTTGGCTGAAGGTGTGCGAGAGATACCTCATGTGCTCAATTCATAGTTGCTGTCGCAGAGAGCGGCATCGGAGAGCGGGGCACCCACTCGACCAGTGCGAGCCCGCACCCTCGCCGGCCGCGCCGCGCGTCCAGCAGCAAAGCGGACGGGTGGCCGTCGGCGGGGAGGGTGGTCGCAGAGGAGCAAATCCATGGAGTATGTAATGATATGCCGGGGCTGCGCAGCGCACTCCTAATAGCCGCCTGCAATACCTTGTCGCCTCTGCAGCTCCTTAGCGCGACGACCTCCCCCCTCCCCCTCCCCCCATTTTGGTCTTCCTGCTCCACGTGGCTCACACGACGGCCACTACTCTGGCAAGCTTAACCTGCCCGAAAGAAGTCCCTAGCCCCAAATCGACAGTGTTTGTTAGAAATATCTCTAAATGTGATGATTGATTTAAAAAATTAAGTTTGGCAGCGTGGTTATGAAAGTCTGGACCTCTTTGCGGAGGGATTTGGGCAGGTAATCCTTACCAGAGAAAGATAGGCCCACCCGGCATACAAAGCTTACCATAGCGTCGGTCGCCGCTCCACCTGCTGCTGTTGCTGCTGCTGCGGTTCTATATGCTGGTGGAACAGCTGCTCAGCCGGCTGCTGCTGCATCTGGAGCTGCTCTGCTCCCCCCTGGTGTTGCTGCGGCTGCTCCAGGAGCAGCTGCGCCTGCAGCTGCAGCCGACGGGCGCCGACGGGCTTCACTCTACCAAAAATGTCCTGTAAATGCCGTTAATTTATTACCAGTTTTCACTGTAGGTCAATTCACAGCGTTTACTGTGATCTGCTCACGGGATTCACTGTGATCTTGTTCGCGGTGTTCACTGTGATCTGGTCCCCAGTAAACACTGTGAGTTTGACGCAGCTGAGCACCGAAGTACAGCAAATCAGGCTCCAATTCACGGCGTTTACTGTGGCCAGATCACAGTGAACACTGTAACCGAGATCACAGTGAACGCCGTGAACTAATTCACAGCAAACACCGTGAATTGCATAACAGCAAACATTGGTAATAAATTAACGGCGTTGACAGGACATTTTTTGTAGAGTGTTGTTGCTGCAGCTGCAGGCGCAGCTGCTCCAGGAGCACCGCCCGCTGCTGCAGCTGCGTCGCCCGCAGCTGCAGCTCTTGATTTGGCAGCTGTGGCGGCGGCGGCGGCGCGAGCAGCAGCAGCAGCGGCTGTGGTGGAGTTTCTTCCGGGTCCAAGTCCACTGCGTTCCGCCGACCGTATGCCTATGGAGACGGGCAGTGTTGTGAGGGTTTTGTAAGTACCCGGTGATCCACGGACGGCGAGACAAGGGTTACTGTGCCACCATGAGACTAGTCTCATGGTGGCACCCGCTCGGAGCCAGAGCATAGGCACGCCCGCACGCACGGCTCTGAGCGGGTGAAACAGTAACCCTTTGTCACGAGGGGGGAACAGATTTCCACAATCATTGTACAAAATTTGACCACGACGCTTTTGTTTCCTTCGGTCTCACCTGTCTTTCTCGCTGGCGCTGAGCCATCCTCTTGATAAAGCTCTTAGCTCGTTGCCAAACTGCCCAGACCATTCATTCCCTTGACAACGACAGTGGCTTTGTTGGCCACAGTTAGTGAACTCGCCGACCCGATTCCGCGAAGTCGCCAATCGGGTCGCCTCGGCCGCCACCGCCACTCGGCGCCGCGACGGAATGAGCGCTCGACGCGGAGGGTGTGCAGACGATTCCGCTGCCCGCACACCCCTTATGGCACACTCAATGAGTGCGAGAGAGACAGAGCGGCGGAATCAGCAAGGCACCGCCCAGTAGGGCGGCCGCGCTGTCCTAGCTCTTGCTTGCAGTCCGGCGGCCAACACCCTGAAGATTAGGCAACCTATAGGGTCACTTAGTGGGACTCGGACCGAACGTGTGACCCCACCATGGAACGAGGGCACGTGGTCGAGTGCACCCTGACGGCCTGTGTACATTTCATGCAGGAAGATGCATAAAATGTACACAGTGATGCATAATTTTATACATACCTTATGGACGTTTCTGCGCATGAATAACTATGCATAAAAAATGCGTCCTTATGCATTTAAAAAGTCCATAAGAATTAAGAGTGTAGTGCGCAGGCCTCGCTACACGCTTTTCCGGAGATTTTCCAGCTTTCCCGAGGAGCAAGAGCACTTCTGAGGGGTGCATTCGAGAGCACAATTCGAGCTCAGATTTTTGGCAGGGTTCTCAATTTTTGTGCTCGAGGGGCGCGTGTTAGTGCGCAGGCCTCGCTACACGCTTTTCCGGAGATTTTCCAGCTTTCCCGAGGAGCAAGAGCACTTCTGAAGGGTACAATCGAGAGCACAATTCGAGCACAGATTTTTGGCAGGGTTCCCATTTTTGGTGCTCGAGGGGCGCGTGTTAGTGCGCAGGCCTCGCTACACGCTTTTCTGGAGATTTTCCAGCTTTCCCGAGGAGCAAGAGCATTTCTGAGGGGTGCATTCGAGAGCACAATTCGAGCACAGTTTTTTTTGGCAGCGGTCCTAATTTTTGTGCTCGGCTTGGTAATTTTCCCCCCAACTGTGCACCCCTTTTGAGGTGTCGAAGCTCCACTTTCGCATTTGTGGCGTTTCCAGGCTTTTCCGAAGGGGCAAGAACGCTTTCGATACGTGCATTTGAGAGCACAATTTGAGCACAGTTTTTTGGTAGTCCCAGTTTTTGTGGTCGGCTTGGTAAGTTCGGCCAACAACATGGACACAAAACGCAAATCCCCTGGCCTGTAGTGTTATGCAGCGGCGTCCCTATTTGTGCACAGTTATTTTGGAGGGTTAATTTGGAGAGCACAATTAATTTCTGATTTGATAACGTTGTTTTGGAGGGTGTTGTGTTTATGGGTGAGGCGAGTGTGAAGTGAGCCTCACCCGTGTTTTTGATTTCTTTTTTTTTTCATCTGAGCACACCCCTTTGTCTCTACGCGAAATTGAGAGCACAATTATAGCACAGTTTTTTGAGCATAGTCTTATCAGTAGTGCTTACTTGGGTGGGGGCAGCGTTACGTGAGCCTCACCCAAAACGTTGCACTCGATTTCCACCGACTCGTTCGAGCACAAATGAAATCTGTGGCATATTCTGAGAGCACAGTTCGAGCACAGTTTCTTGAGCGTAGTTTTTTTTAACTGTGCTCAAATGGGTGAGGCTATCTTCACGGAGGTTCCTGTCGTCGGCCTACACTGGCAAACTCCTGTCCGAACTTTTCTTCAGATGTCCCTCTCGCGAAATACAAACTATAGAAGAACTGGCGGCGTCAAATCTTACGATTTGTTTGCAACGGAATAGGACTGAGGGTCCAATACCCTTCTGCCCCGTCTGTCTTATGTCTACAAGGTAGGTTTACGCCAGACCGCGTCTTGTCGTAACAGGCTTCGCGATGTCTCGCTGCCTGTTCCTCCAATCCGCGCCTGGCGTACCTACCTTGGCCTGCGGCGCTAGTCTGCCTTCGGCAGGCAATGGCTTGTCCATCGTCGGTTACTTCTTACTTGATGCATGCTGGGGGCTCCCCCCCCCAGCCCCCCCTTCATTCTAGATCCCTTGTGACTTTTTAACTTGTCGGGGCTGGGGGGCTCCGCCCCCCAGACCTCCCTTCTCTAAGGCAGAGGTGATCTGCCTGCAGAAAACTCGATTTTTCGCCGTTTTTTAGGTGTTTTTCGGCTATACTAGACAGCTGCAAGGCAGCGCAGCGCGGGCGAATGTATGTCAGTTGGTTTTTTTTTAAATATTTTTTATGTAGAACATTCGCGTCGCTCGTTCGCTAGTTTACCAAAGCAATTGTCTCAATTTTGTGAATCCTTCTCTTTGCGCATATTAATATAGTTTGAAAAATTGTTTCTGGTAAATGGTTAGTAAGAAAATTTCGTCTATATTAACTTTGTTTTCCAGTTTTCAGTTTCAATTTTTCTCCTTTTTTTCTTCATGGAAGGTAAAGGCCGTTTTGGAATGGTCGACTAATCGATTGTCAACTTCGATATGAGTTGTGTATTGTTGCCATGGTGACCGCGCAGTTCCGATTGTTTTGATTGTTTCGTTCTGGTGTAACCTTGAAACCTTGAAACCTTGAAAATGGATAAACTTTCCGCTGTAAGATATTTATAAATTATCAAACCGAGTATAATTTTATTCTGAATTGTAATGTTTATAATGCGTTCTCTTTCAGGATGATTTTAGTCTAACCTTTAGTAGAAATGAAATGGAAGAAGTAGAGGAAGCCGTTTTGAATGTGATTATGGGGCCTTCTGTACCGGTAAGTGTTACTATATCATCTTCATTGTGTCCGTGCTTATGAAATTTGTTTATAAAGGAGAGTGTTAAAAATAGTACACCTTGGTGTGTTTAAAATCTACCCTTTCAATTGTTTTCTTTCCGTCCACGTTTTGATTTTTTGCAGTTTTAAAAGTCTTTAAGGGGTATAATGGTTTTGTGGATGTTTAACACTTATTGTTGTTCTTACTCCGTGGACGGAAATCAATGGATTGGAAAAATGGACGGAAATGGGTAGATAGAAATGTTTTGACGGACATGCGTGGACAGAAATGTTTCGATTGAAATGTGCGGTGGGACAAAAGGTGGACGGAAATTGGTGGACGGAAATTGGTTGACGGAAATGAATGTGTGGAAATGGGTGCACAAAAATGAATGGACGGAAATGAGTGGACGGAAATGGGTGGACAAACATGGGTGGACGGAAATGCGCAGACGGAAATGCGTAGACAAAGATGTGTGGACGGAAATGAATGGATGAAATGGCTTAGGGCGATTAATTAGTAGAACGGCTTACGGCAAGAACCTATAGCGAAGGTTGTGGGCGATACGTTTAAAGCGATGACTTCCTTTCCTCTTCCTAACCTTTCTCTTTCCTGAATTTACGGTGGTGCGGCCGTATGAGCGCCCTTGTGTATAACTAAAACCGGTTTTTTTTTCTTCCCATTTAAAATTTTTTTGTTTGCGTTATTGACTCATCTTTTTCTTTTTTTTTAGGGAATGCTCACTTGTGATGAAACTGACAATGTGGTTATGAGTAAGAAGAGGAAAATCGATGATGCCGGATCGTCAAGTGATGCAGGGCCGAGCAAAGATCATTCCGAAAAGAAGAAAGAAAAGAAAAAGATGTCAAAGGTTTTTTAAAAATTATAATTCTTTCTTTCAATTGAATGGAAACAAAAAACAATTTAATATGTGTTGAATATTTACAGGAAAAGAAGAAGATGAAACGCACGAAAAAAGAAAATGAGGTAAATTTCAATTTTATTGCTAGACGTTTTAAAAGCACGGCATTGGGCGGTGTCTTTGAGCGACGCATTCGAAGGACGCCTTTAAGCAACGCGTTTGAATGGCGCGTTTATGCGACGCGTTTGAACGACGCTTTTGGGCCACGCCTTTACAAGACGATTTTGGCGAGGTTTTTGAAGCAAGGTTTTGGGTACAAGTTTGCGCGACGGTTGTGCGCGTTGCGTTTGGACGATGGCTTTGGGCGACGCGTTAGGGCGACGCGTTTGTGCGACGCGTTTGGGTTCCACTCGGATTTTGTCTGTAAATCTACATGGGGACGGCTTGGTGCGACTTTTTTGGGCGACGTTTTTGAAGGGGGGGCCAACATGTGTTCCACATTTTAAGCTTAATGCGTGAATATAAATTTAGGGGGGAATCGCTTGAAAGCGAAAGCTTAGCATGATAATTTTGGTCGCTGCCTTTGGGCATAGGTTTTCTGCGTTAGCTTTTGTTAGCTTTTGTTAGCTTTTCCGACAACGCGCTCACCAACGCGTTTGGGCGACACCTGTTGTGCGACGCGTTTGGGCGACGGGTTTTGGCGACATGGCTTGGATTGAACATCGTATAAAGTTGTTAATGGTTTGGGGAAGTTTTAGAATTTCCACATGGACGGAAATCAGTGGACGGAAATAAATTGACGAAAATGAGTGGGCAGAAAGAAATGACGGGTTAGTGCTTGGGCGATCGCTTTGTGGGACGTATTTGTACTACGGCTTTTAGCGCTGTTGTAAGCGACGGCTTAGGGCAACGAGTAATTGTTACCGTGGGGATGTTATATCTTTTTTTAAAAAAAAGGTGAAAAATTGTTTTTTTTTTTTTTGCAGGCTGGGACTTCATCATCAAAAGATGAAAATGAAGAAGCTCAAAAGTCATCCGAAGATGAGGTAATTTGTTTTATGTTTATGTAGAGTTTAAGTTGTAATGAATTTTGTTCTAATGGTAAATAAAGTTTTTAGCTAACTGGGCATTTTTTTCAAATTTCAGGATCTTGCTTCATCGTCTACTGACACCCAAGGGGAAAAGAAGCCAGGAAAAACTACAAAGCCAAAGGTATTTTTAAATTTTAATTTTTTCTTTGAGTATAACGGAAACTGTAAAGGATTTAATATATGTTCAAAATTTACAGGAAAAGAAGACATCAAATAAGGCAGATGGAAAAGAACAAAAGAAGAGTAAAGGCAGCAATAAGAAAAATGAGGTAAATTTCATTTTTATTTAATCGGACGAGAAAAGTTTTTATTTAAAGCGGTTATGTTAGAAAAGGATTTTTTTTTTATTTTTTAACAATATAGTGTGTTAAATTGGTGGATGTGTGGACGGCTTAAGGCGGACATTTTAGCATGATTCTTTTGGGCAGTGTCTTTGGCCTTCGTTTTGTCCGCTGCTTTTCTGCGGTGCCTTTGGGCGATGTTTTTGGGCGACGCCTTTGGGCGACGCCTCTGAACGACGTTTTTGGGCGACGCCTTTAAGTGACGCCTTTAACCGACGCTTGTAAGCGACGCCTTTAAGCGACGCATTTGTGCAACGCCTTTAAGCGACGCGTTTGGGGACGTGTTTAGGGCGAAAATGGGTGGACGGAAATAGCTTAGGACAACAGTTTAATTTGACCATTTAGGGTAACGGCTTAAAGGTCGGTTTGGAAGACAAATTTAGGGAGACGGCCCAAAGTGAAACGTTAGGATGATAACTCAAAGCAATGCCTTGGGTAACGGCTTTGGTCGACTTTTTCAAGTAACGCCTTTTCTAGAAACTGAAGAAAGTGCATGGCATGCTCTTCCTAGGAGTCAACCACAAAGCACACTCTTCCCAAGAGCATGCTTGCAAGCACACTCTTCCCAGGAGCATGCTTTCAAGCACTCTCCTTGCTTGCAAGCATGCTCCCAGGAAGAGCGTGCTTGCAAGCATGCTCCTGGGAAGAGTGTGCTTGCCAAGCATGCTCCTGGGAAGAGCGTGCTTGCAAGCATGTTCTTGGTAAGAGTGTGCTTTGTTGTTGATTCCTAGGAGGAGCATGCCATGCACTCTCTTCAGTTTCTAGAGTTTCTCTGTCGCTGTTGGGCGACAACTTTAAGTGACGTCTTTGAAAGACGTTTCGACGGTTTGACGCGTAGACGCATTCGGGTGGATGAAATTGGTGGTTGGAAATGGGTGGACGGAAATAGGTTGACGAAAATGAATAGACGCAAATGGGTGCACGGAAATAAAAAGATGGAAATGGGTGAACGGAAATGGCTGGAAAGAAATTGGTGCACCCAAATGTGTGGAAGGAAATGAAATGAGTGGACGGAAATGGGTGCATAGAAAAAGGTGGACGTAAATGGGTAGACGTAAATGTGTGTATGTAAACGGTTGGACGTAAGTTGGTGGACAGAAATGAATGGATGTAAATGGGTGAACGGAAATGCGCTCTTCTGCCGCACTGCGGCTATGGTTAGATGAACTTATTTTTAGTTCTGGGTGGAAGTTTTTATACGTGCCGTGCATTCTGGCCGGTGACGAACAGCGGGGTGCGTTTTGGCTGTGTCGATGGCCAGAAAGTGCGACGACAGTACGGCGCGGCCGGTACAGCCCGGATGTTATCTGTCTTTATAAAAAAAGCTGAAAAATTGTTTTCATTTTGCAGGGTGGGAGTTCATCATCAAAAGATGAAAATGAAGAAGCTGAAAAGTCATCCGAAGATGAGGTAATTTCTTTTATGTTTATGTAGAGTTTAAGTTGTAATGATTAATTGTTGTAATGGTAAATAAAGTTTTTAGCTAACTGGACCGTTTTTTTTTTCAATTTTCAGGATGGTGCTTCATCGTCTACTGATACCCAAGGGCAAAAGAAGACGGTAAAAACTAAAAAGCAAAAGGTATTTTTAAATGTTAACTTTTTTCTTTGAGTATAACGGAAATTGTAAACAGTTTAATTTCTGTCCAAAATTTACAGGAAAAGAAGACATCAAATAAGGCAGATGGAAAAGAACACAAGAAGAGTAAAGGCAGCAATAAGAAAAATGAGGTAAATTTCATTTTTATTTAATCGGACGAGACGTTAGGGTGATAACTGTGGGCGATGTTTTGGGTCGCGTTTGAAAGACGCCATTGGCCGACGTTTTTGCTTGACGATTTGGGACGACGCTTTTGACCGACGCCGTTAGGCGCCACCTTTAGGCGATTCGTTTGGGCGACGCCACGAAGCGACGCCTTTAAGCGACGTGTATGGGCGAGGCCTTTGGGCGACGCGTTTGGGCGACGCCTTTGGACCAATCATTTGGGTGACGCGCTTGGGCGATGCCTTTGGAGGAATCCTTTGGGCGACGCCCTTGGGCGCCGCTTTCGGGCGACGCCTTTGGGCGACGCCTTTGGGCGACGCCTTTGGGCGACGCCTTTGGGCGACGCCTTTGGGCGACGCCTTTGGGCGACGCCTTTGGGCGACGCCTTTGGGCGACACCTTTGGGCGGCGGCTTTGGGTGACGCCGTTGGGCGAAGGCTTAGGGCAACGCCTTTGGGCGTCGCTTTCGGGCGACGCCTTTCGGCGACGCCTTTAAGCGACGCGTTTGGGCGACGTCTGTGCGCGACGCCTGTGCGCGACGCCTGTGGGCGACGCCTTGAAGCGACGCCTTTGGGCGACGCCTGTGCGCGAAGCCTGTGCGCGACGCCTGTAGGCGACGCATGTGTGCGACGGCTGTGGGCGACGCCTTTGGGCGAGGCTTTTGAGCGGCGCTTTTGAGCGACGCCTATAGGCGACGCCTTTAAGCAAGCGACGCATTTGGGCGTTTAGGCCGACAACCTTAAGCACGGTTTCGGAAGACAAATTTAGGAGGACGGCCGAGAGCAACACTTTAGGGTGATAACTGTGGGCGATGCTTTCGGTCACGGTTTTGCCAAATCTTTCAGGCAACGGCTTTGTGCGACGGCGTTAAGTGACGTTTTTGAAAAAGGCTTCGACGCTTTGAACCTAACCTATGAGTATACGGAAATGTGTTCACGCAGATGTGTGAATGGAAATGCGTGTGTGGCAATGGGTGGAAGGAAACGTGTTGACGGAATTGGGTGGGTGGTAATGTGTGGACGGAAATGGGTGGACGGAAATGCGTGGATGGAAATGGGTGGACGGAAATGGGATGGCCGAAATGGTTGTATCAAACTGCATGGACGGAAATCAATTGACGGAAAAGGGTGGGCCGAAATGATTGTATGGAAACGCGTTAGGGGAATTATTTAAAACGATGGCTTAGGGCAATGGCTTAAAGCAAGAATTTTGGGCGACAAGTTTAAAGCGAAGGATTAAAGTGAATGGTTAGGATTACAAATGTAAGCGCTGTTTAGGCGCTTGCTTGGTTCGAACGCTTTAGTTGACGATTTCCTACAATTTGTTTGACCGACGTCTTTACGTGATATTTTCGGGCGACGCGTTTGGACGACGGCATTGGACGACGATTTTGCTTGACGATTTCGGACGACGCTTGTGAACGACGCCCTTGGGCGACGCCTTCATGCGATTCGTTTGGGCGATGCCACTAAGCGACGGTGGTAATATGTGGACGGAAATGGGTGGACGGAAATGCGTGGTTGGAAATGGGTGGACGGAATTGGGATGCCTGAAATGGGTGTACAAAACTGCATGGACGGAAATCAGTTGACGGAAAAGGGTGGACGGAAATGATGGGATGGAAACGCCGATGGCTTAGGGCAATGGCTTGAAGCAACAATTTTGGGCAACAAGGTCAAAGCGAAGGATTAAAGTGAAAGGTTAGGATAAAATCGCTGTGTTTGGGCGCTTGCTTGGTTCGTTCGCTTTAGTTGACGATTTCCGACAATTTGTTCGACCGACGTCTTTACGTGACGTTTTCGGGCGATGCGTTTAAGCGACGGCATTGGGCGACTCTTTTGCTTGACGATTTCGGACGACGCTTGTGAACGACGCCGTTGTGCGACACTTTAAGGCGATTCCTTGGGGGACGCCACTAAGCGACGCCTTTAAGCGAAATCTATGGGCGAGGTCTTTGGGCGACGCGTTTGGGCGACGCCTTTGGACCAATCCTTTGGGCGACGCTTTTGGGAGACGCCTTTATGCGATTTGTTTGGGCGACGCGACTAAGCGACGCGTTTAAGCGACGTCTATGTGCGAGGTCTTTGGGCGACGCGTTTGGGCAACGCCTTGGACCAATCCTTTGAGCGACGCCTTTGGGAGACGCCTTTAAGCGACGTTTATGGGCGAGGTCTTTGGGCGACGCGTTTCGGCGATGCCTTTAGACTAATCCTTTGGGCGACGTCTTTGGGCGACGCTTTTGGAAGATGCCTTTGGGCGCCGCTTTTGGGCGACGCCTTTAAGCGACGTCTTTGGGCGACGCTTTTGAACCAATCCTTTGGCCGACGCTTTCGTGAGACGCCTTTAGGCGATTCGTTTGGGTGACGCCACTAAGCGACGCCTTTAAGCGACGTCTGTAGGCGAGGTTTTTGGGCGACGCGTTTGGGTGACGCCTTTGGACGAATCCTTTGGGCGACACATTTGGGGAACGCCTATAAGCGACGTGTATGGGCGAGGTCTTTGTGGGACGCGTTTGGGCGATGGCTTTAGACCAATGCTTTGGGCGACGCATTAAGCAAGCGATGCATTTGGGCGAGGGTTTTAAGAGTCGTGTTTTGGCAACGCCTTTGGGCGAAAATGGGTGGGCCATTGTTTCAGGCAACGCGTTTGTGCGTCGCTTTTGCGCGATGGCCTTAAATGACCTTTCTGAAAGAGGTTTCGACGCTTTGAACCTAACCTATGAGTATACGGAAATGCGTTCACGTAGGTGGGTGGACGGAAATGAATGCATGGAAATGGGTGAAAGGAAATGGATTGACGGAACTGCGTGGGAGGTAATGGGTGGACGGAAATGGGTGGACGGAAATGCGTGGATGGAAGTGCATTGAGGGAAATATGTGTACCGAAATGGTTGTACCAAAATGCATGGACGGAAATCTATTGACGGAAAAGGGTGGACGAAATGGGTTAAGGCGATTGTTTACAACGATGCCTAAGTGACGTCTTTTAAACACGTCTCAACTGTTTGATGTTTGTTTTAAATCATTACTTTTATTAGATGTTCATTCTTTGGATGACGATTAGGTCAATATTTTTCAATAAGATATTTGTTATTTTGGTTTTGTAAAAATATATTTGAACAGTTTTTTTTTTTGTATTTTCAGGGTGGAGGTTCATCGTCCAAGGATGAGGATGAGAAAGCTGCTGAAGAATCTTCTGAAGATGAGGTAATTTTGTTTTTGTTTATTTAAACTTAGGTTGCTTGTAATACTTGCTGTAATGTTGAATTTTTGTCTCTATGCAATAATTTTGTGTCGGTTGTTTATTACAGAATTCATCTAGTGATGAAGACTGCAATAAGTTGAATAAGCTTTCTGGAAAATTATCAGAGTTTAGAAGCATTAAGGATCTTCCTGTAAAGCAATCTTACAAAGTGTTAGATTTTGAGCAGGTTGAAACCTCAAAGGGCAAATGCATTAGATGTAAATTAGAAGAAGATAATGATGAGGGTTTTTTTTTCATTCATCTACCACGCAGATTTTATGATGAAATTTCCCACAACTTGAAGAAGTATCTTTTGATTACTAAGTCTGCAAAACCATTTTATTTTTGTTTTTTGGGGATGAAAGGGCGTGGCTTCAAGGTGTTATTTACTAGAAATGTAGAGAACCATTTGTAAACTCAAATTACAGTAGAAAAATTACCATAAAAACATTGGCCCCGTCCCGTTTGAGTCTTGATGGTTTGAGCCATGACTTGAGACGTAATTAAAGCTTAATTTGAGCTTCGAATTGCGGTTTAATTAAAGGTTTAATAACCAAAGGTCGCATTGACCGCCGACTAAAACATTTTAAGCTTTATTTGATCGTTAGTTGAGGTTTAGTTGAGCAACGCTTAATGGATATTGGAGTTTGTGTTGTTGGTTATCAGAGGCTTAAGTTGAGACTGAGGTGTAGGGTCAGACGAAAAAGCCTGAAACGGGACGGGGTTCACGTCCTATATGGCAAAAAATTGCATGCAGTATATGTTGGCTCTGCTTGTATCTTTGAAATAATTTGTCAATTCTTGCTTTTTTGGTAAATTTCAAAAGTTTTTTTGATGTTTCTTAATTTTTGGGTTTGTATTGTTTTGCTTTTGCTATAACATATTTTTTTCTTTTATTTTTTTAGGATTTTAAAATTCGCCGTAAGAAATATTTGAATCAGTGTAAATGGCGTAACCAAAAAAGGAGGCAGAGGAAAAATTTAAGTCAAGAAGATAAAGAGAGGATTAAGGCTTATGATAGGGAGAGGAAAAGAAACAAAAAACAAAAATGATTTGTTGAGAAAATTAATGTGAAGTCTATTTTGATGCGGTTTGAATTGTTGCATTTTGTTTTACAAATAATAGCTATTTGCTCAAAAAATAAGCATGTATTTTGTTACTTATCTTGTTTTAAAGCAATATAAATTGTTGTTTGTCATATTTAAAATATTCTTTTTTAGCATATGGTAAGAAAAATTATTATTTGCAGCCATTTCATGTAAAATTTAATGAAAGTGTAATTTTTTCTCATTGTTTTTCCAAATTTTTTGAGAACTGTTTCATTTCAAGTCCATTGTAATCTGGTGATTGTATTTAATCCGATTAAAACATTAACATTGGTATTATTTGTTTTTGTTTTTTACTTTTGTTACTTATTTTGCATATAAAATATTCATAATACCGCGGTTGAATTCTTTTTGGTTTGTTCAATAAAGTTTTTATTTGCCCTTTGGCGTGCTTTTAGTTAGTTTAGCGTTTGCACATTGTATCTGAATCTTTTACGTGTTTATTCTTTGCTTATATAATATTTGTTGTTGTTCCGTCCATGTAGAAGGCGATTGTTTCCCGTGTATTTGAAATTCTTTTGTTTTGAGTTCGTTTGAAACGTGATTCGTTTTTGTCCATATGAAACTCATTTTTTTCTGTCCACGTAAAGGGTGTTTTTTCCGTCCGTTTAATATGAGTTTCGTTTTTATCCTTTTAAAATGTATAGTCTTTTTTATGGTCTAATTGCTTTTTGTACACTGTTGTGTTACAAAATTGGGTTATTGGGGCGGTGTTTGCTGCCTTTTACCGAGGATAAGTCGCCGTTTCCTTTGGTTACAAGTGTTTTGGTGCTCCGGCCTTTCGGCCAGGTAAAAAGCCAAGACTTTTTATTTAGGCTTCCTGTGAACGACCGTTGTCGACCGACAGGTGGTCGAAGTGTCGCGTGCCCAGTCGGTGCTCAGTGGCGAGCAACCGGGCCGGTCTAGTAATTGACCGGGCTGTCGCAGCACGACCGCTTACCAAGCGGCAGGTTGTAGCTTTCTGTCAACGCCACGCCAAGCTGCGCCACGCTGCGCAACGCTGCGCTGCGCCGGGATGCGCCGGAGCTGGAGCGAGCGTAGTGCCCAGCAAGCGGGCGGGCAGGCGGTCGGACGCCGACCGGCGCGGTCAGCGCGGTCTGTAATAGGAGGTCGAAATGGAGAGCTGTGCCGCCCTCTTGGATCCGTGTCAACCGTGTTTAGGCGACGTTTGCGGGGGGCTTATGCCGGTGCTGGGCAGGGTTTAGAACAGTGTAAGCGCATATTGGAGGATGAAAAAATTTTACGTTGGAGCTTTTTGTTTTAGTTTAATTGCACGTCTTGATTTTCCTTAGTTGCGGTGTTTATAAGTTGCTTTTTTCGGCATATATGCATGTCTTTGTTAATTTTTTTAAATTCTTTAGTTGTTTTTGTTATTGTAATGTCATTGCTGTGTTCATTCGTTGCTTATTTTGAAATACTTTATTGTTGTAATGGTTTAGTTGTAAAGAATTTATTTATTTTGTTTTGTATTTCAGGTTGCAAGAAAAAAGAAAAGACAGGCGAGGAATAGGCAAAGGTGTAGAAGGAAGCGTTTAAAGAAGGAAGAATATGAAAAACTTAAAGAAAGAGCAAGAGTGAAAATGAGTGAATTTCGTTCTAAAATGTCTGAAACTAAACGTAATGAACGTAAAAAGTTGGATAGAGATAGGAGAAGAATTGCTCGTGAGTCGAAAAAGTTGAATACTTTTCAAGCGTTTGATTCACAGGAAAAGAAAGCAACAGATAAGGATCAATATAATTTTGAGTGTTACATGGCTTCACTTGTGTGGTATACTTGTTCAGTTTGTAAAAAGAAACAATTTGTTTCATCAACTTCCAAAAAGCCTTGCAAAAATTGTGAATTGTTTACTGAAGAAAATGATATGGACCCTGGAGATGTTCCAGAAGAACTTCAGGATTTAACAGTTGTTGAACAACAATTGATTAGTTTGATTCACCCTGTTGTTTCACTATACAAAATAATGAATGTTCAATATAAGTACACTGGAAATGTTATAAATTTCCCTCAGAACATCCAAGAAATTGCTACAAGTTTGCCTCATAAAATAGCTGATGTTAAAGGTATCATCACTGTAAGATCTGTTGGTTCAGAAGTATTTAAAGATTTTAAAGTACGTAAGGAACGGGTACGTAAAGCTTTGTATTGGTTGAAGTGTAATAATCCAGTTTACGCTAACATAAAAATTAACGATGAAAACCTAAATGAATTACCTGAAGATGGCAATTTGTATAGTAAAACGAGGGGGTATGATGTGAAATTGAAAAAAATAGATGAGCCTTGCTGCAGTAAAGATTTGGAAGGTGTTTACTATATTGATGAAAGTGAATTTTTAGACGATGATGGTGAAATAGTTCCAGTTGTTTATAAAGATGTTCCTGATGTATCTATTATTACACAGAAGGAGAAGCTCAGTAAATCAGTGAATGAAAATGTTTTGTTGTGGCCATCTGTTGGTCGTGTACCTGTTAATGAGTTTAGCAGTCCTTCTTATATAACAATGGCGTTTCCATGTCTGTTTCCTTATGGTAAAGCTGACTATTCCACGAGAACTGATAAGTCTATATCGTTACATAAATATGTTGAACACCTTATGCTTTATAGAGATGGGAGATTTGCAAAAGATCCACGTTTTCGTTTTTTTATATTGAATAGTTTAATGCGTTGGGAAGCACTGTCTTTAGGCAACGTTTTTGTGAAAAAGAATGAGTTTTTTTCAAAAATGACTGTTGCTCAATTGAAAGAATATCTAAGAAAAAAACCAAGTGTTTTGAATGAAATATTGTTTTATTCTAGTAGATTAAGATCAACCAAAGCTTATTGGAAGTCAAGATCATCGGAACTACAGGATATGGTTGATCAATTAGGACCTCCCACTGTTTTTTTTACATTATCTAGTGCTGACTTCCATTGGAAAGATCTTTATAGATTGTTTGGTTATGATGATCCAAATGATTTATCCTATGATTTGAAAAGTCAATTATTAGCAGATAATCCGTTAATTGTTAGTACTTTTTTTAAGCTGAGAGTTGAATATTTTATGGAAAAGAGTTTTAAAAACCATTTTGATGTTCAAGATTCTTGGTATCGCGTGGAATTTCAACATAGAGGAAGTTGCCATGTCCATGGTGTGGCATGGTTAAAAGATTCCCCAGATATAAAGAATTTGAAAACAGATGACATGAAGAAAAAGGCTGAAGAGTTTTTTGATAACATAATTAGTTGTTGTAATCCTGACCTTAATGCATTGCCTAATCTTGTGCATCCATGTTCTCAAACTGCTAGTGATGTTACAAATGAAGAGGATGATCTAGCACAACTTGTTAATAGGATTCAACGACATACAAAATGTACACCTTCCTATTGTATGAAAAGGAAAGTAGGTGGTGCAATCAACAAATGCAGGTTTGGATTTCCAAAAGCTTGTAAGGAAAAGACAGAGATATTTGTAGGTGAAGATGGGTTATTTGATATTCAATTCAAAAGAAATGATGAATTGGTTAATAACTATAATCCATGGTTATTGCGCACATGGCGTGCTAATATTGATTTTACTCCAATATTATCTGAAACCGTACTTTGCAAATATATTGCTAAATATGCATCTAAATGTGAGTACAAATCAGATGTTTATGGTAACCTTGTATCAAGTGTTCTAGAATCTAATGTGCCCGATAATGAACATTGTAAGAAGATTATTAGAAAACTTATGATTGGTTGTTGTTCGGAAAGAGATTATGGTTCCCAGGAAGTTATGTATTTACTTATGGGTTTTCCTCTATTCCGTGCTTCACGTTCTTTTGTTGTTCTAAATGTAAAAAGTGCGTTGTGGAAAGTCGTGAATATGGTTAATGAATCTGTTTGTAAAAATTGGATTGAAAGGTATGCAGAACGTCCATTGCATCTTAGCGTAAGAGGATGTCGAATGAATACAGAGTTGATGTCAGTTGTTGAATTTTATAAACATTTTTACTATGCCAAGAAAAAATGGGTGAGTAGAAGGCATTCTGCAATAATCCGTTGTTTTCCCAGGAGGTCATATATAATTACAAATGATGTACAGGATTTGAAAACCGAATGTATCTTTAATGTTCCATGGAGGGACTTAACTGAATTTAATGTTTCTGAAGATGAATTGAAGTGTGAATTAGAAAAACATAAGCCTGTTTTTATTGACGATGTGGAAGATATTGTACTTTTGTGTGAGGATAGTGATGATAGTTCTGATTATAGCGATTTTTCAGATGATGATGTTAAGTCTGGTGTTGATTTTTTTAGTGTCAGTAATGATACTAAAGGAAAATCAGAGATGAACAAAAGTAATCCTGACTTTAAGTGGGATTATGGTGTATCTAAGTATGATTACGCAGAAATTACAAACCTTTCTGCAGAGTTAAAAGATTTGACAGGTAATGTTGTTGTTCCTCATGTTGATGTTGATTTATTGGAAGAGGATCAACTTGATGTTTATACATACTTTAAGAAGGTTGTTAAATGCTTGAAGCTTAAAAAAGATGTGAAGAAGAAACTTATTATTATTCAAGGAAAGGCTGGCTTTGGAAAAAGCTTTTTGTTGCAAGGAATGGTAATGCATTGTTTTGAAGAACTCGGTGATGAAAGTTATGTTGTAGTTGGTCCGACTGGTGTGTCTGCAAGAAATGTTTGTGGTATTACAATTCATTCTTTTGGGAGGTTAGGCAGAAGTAATAATTTAAGAGATTTAAGTGCAGATGAGTTGTTGCTTTTGCAACAAAAGTATAGGAAACTTCAAGTTCTTTTCATTGATGAATATTCAATGGTGGGATTACGGTTGTTGGGGATGTTAGAAAAAAGGTGCAGAGAGTTTAAAGATTCAAATGCATTGTTTGGTGATTTGTGTGTAATTTTAACTGGTGACATTTTTCAATTGGTTCCAGTTGGAGATAAGGCAATCTTTAACTGGAGAGACAATAAACTTTCATCTGAATATGTTGAAAGGGGAAAACTTGTTTTAAATAGTTTTGATAAAGCTTTTGTTTTGAGTTCAGCAAAACGTTTTGATAGTAAATGTTATACGCAATTTCTGGAAAGACTTTCTTGTGGCAATTGTAATGAAAATGATTTGAAATGTGTGAATGACCGTTCAATTGATGTTGTGGGGAATTCTGGTATTTTTACATCAGCATTAAGGTTATGTTCGTATGTTGAAAATGTAAATTGTCATAATAACATCAAGTTACAAGAAACAAACATGCCAATTGCTCAAATGAATGCTCGTAATAGCAGTAGGAAAGCTTTCTTATCAAATGATGATGAAGCTAATGGTTTGTCTAATACATTGTATCTGGTTGTTGGTGCTAAAGTAATGCTAAGGCAGAATTTGAATGTGCGATATTCTCTTGTAAATGGTAAGGGAGAGTGGGGTAATTCCGGACACGGGGTAATTCCGGACACTTCGATTTTCACTGGGTTTGAGTAAAGATAACTCAAAAGCCCGCCTAACAGAGGAAGATAATGAGTTAAAAAGGAGAATTCCAAATCGCCAAAGTAGGAGGTCAAACCGTTTGCCTGTGGTCGCTTCACGAAATTTGAGTACCATCAAAAATAGGCAAAAGCTGCATCTTTCCCTCGTATTTCCATGTCCTTATCGTACCTTACCGTCAAGTTCAGTCCCATGACTAAAATTTTATCATATTATATGGTCAATGGACTTTACTTTGGCGTTTCGGGAGTGCTCGTATGGCTCGCCGTTTTCTTACAGTTAAACATCAAAGGTTTTCACTACCTGTGGGGTAAATCCGGACAATAAGGGTTATTTTCTTCAATTTCCCGCACAATGTTAAGGTAGTGGGTTCAAAATTGTGGACATGCATCCCCACCGTTAAGAAGGATAAAGAAAGAACGAAAAATAGCATTGCAGCTATGTTTAAGAGCTTTACTCGAGACAGTGTTGTCAGTTTAGGGGTTTTGATAGAAATTATTCCTTATAATATGCTTTGAGTAATGATCAAACACTTCAGTTCGCAGCAAATGTCCTTGAACGCCTTCTTAGAGTATGCCTCACATCAAAACAAGCGAAAGTAAGCTCGAGTAGTGTCAAATTTTAAGGTCGTCCGGCATTGCCCCATAGGTCGTCCGGAATTACCCCAGCCTGGGGCAATTCCGGACACGTGCAGGGCTTTAGTTAGGCGCCTATATCTCCCTAACCGTTGCTGAGATTTGGCTTTCATGTACATCGTTTTGAAGGTAAAGGTCGATACTTTACGCTCCTGTCATAACATTTAACCCAAGAAGCATATTCAAGCTCAAAGACCATAAAGAAAAAAAGCGTCCGGAATTACCCCACTCTCCCTTAGCATAGGTGATTTGGTCGACATTTTATATGATGAAGATGAAGGTCCTCCGTTGTTACCAAAGTTTTTAATTGTACGTTTTGATGGTGTGAATGGCTTTGTGGAGTTGGATGGTGCTGTGCCTTTAGTTCCAGTTCACACTAGTTGGAAAAAGGGTTCTGATACGTGTACACGTATTCAGTTTCCGATTAGTCTATGCTGGGCTTGTACTATTCACAAATCGCAATCACTAACTCTGTCCTATTGTATGTTAGATCTTGGTGATATAGAATTTCAGCTGGGTCTAACCTATGTGGCATTCAGTCGTGTGAAGGATTTCAAATATTTGGTTGTTTTTAAGAAAATGTCACTTGATCGATTGAATTGTGTAAAGAAGTGTTCGTTCTATGTGACTCGTGAAATGTTTATGAATTGGTTACATTCTTTGAAATAAACGTTTTATTCAAATTTTTGTGTTTTAATGAACTTATGAGACAGTAATGAATTCCAACGCAACCTAATTAAAAGTGACTGACCTCAATTATGAAAGGTGGTGTGGACGGAAATTTTTTTTGCTAGGGTGGACGGAGTTGGTGGACGGAATTTTTTTTTTAGGGTAAATGGAGTAAATTTATGGACCGCGTTTAATGGACCAAACCTAATCTAACCCAACATGACTTAACCTAACGTAACCTAACATAACACAACGTAATGAACTCCAACGCAACCTAATTTAAACACTGAACTGAATTATGTAAGGTGGTGTGGACGGACTTTTTTTTGGTAGGATGGATAGAATGGGTGGACGGAATGTTTTTGTTAGGGTAGATAAACCTTTCCCTACTTTCGACCGATCTTATTCTCAAACTAAATGATCCAACCAATCCTAACCTGACCTAACGGGCTCGTGACAGATCTTACTCTTCTCGTGACAGATCTTACCCTACACTCGACAGATCTTATTCTCAAAGTAAATGGTCCTACCAATCCTAACCTAACCTAACGGGCTCGTGACAGATCTTACTCTACTCGTGACAGATCTTACCCGACTCTGGACAGATCTTATTCTCAAACTAAATGGTCCAACCAAACCTAACCTAACCTAACCGGCTCGTGACAGATCTTTCTCTACTCGTGACAGATCTTTCCCTACTCTCGTCCGATCTTATTCTCAAACTAAATGATCCAACCAATCCTAACCAAACCTAACGGGTTCGTGACAGATCTTACTCTACTCGTGACAGATCTTACCCTACTCTCGACAGATCTTATTCTCAAACTAAATGTGCAACCAATCCTTACTTAACGTAACGTGCTCGTGACAGATCTTTCTCTACTCGTGACAGATTTCCCCCTACTGTCGACCGATCTTATTCTCAAAGTAAATTGTCCAACCAATCCTAACCTAACCTAACGGGCTCGTGACAGATCTTCCTCTATTCGCGAAAGATCATACCCAACTCGCGACAGATCCAACCAATCCTAACCAAACCTAACGGGCTCGTGACAGATCTTACTCTACTCGTGACAGATCTTACCCTACTCTTGACAGATCTTATTCTCAAACTAAATTGTCCAACCAATCCTAACCTAACCTAACGGGCTCGTGACAGATCTTCCTCTATTCGCGAAAGATCATACCCTACTCGCGATATATCTTGTTCTCAAACTAAATGGCCTATGAAGCTTGGCGTGCGACTATGGAGATTGGACTATTGAGGTTGGACTATAGAATATGGACTATGGAGCTTAGACTTTGGAGCTTGGACTATGGAGCTTGGACTATGGAGCTTGGAGTTGCTAAAAACTATCTTCTAAAAAGTCCGTATGTTGGTGTACCACAAAAGATGGACTGTGACGTGGATTGAATTAAATTACAAAAAAGTTGTATTGACTGTTTTGAATGATTTTTATAAAATGTGTTTATTTTGGTTGGTTATAAGTTATGAAGCGTTATAGGCAGAAAATATATGAGGATGAGAGTGGACGGATTTTTGTAGGAAGACAAATTAGACAGAATTATACAATCACAACAATTTGGCCATCGTACCAATACAAAGAGACCGGTTCTGAATCGCCAATTTCATAGTTTCTTTTAAGATATAAATTATTGAAATTTGCATGTGATTTCAATTGATGGAGCTGTGCTGGTGTTAAGTTCTTGTATCTGATGGGTAAATACATGTTGAAAGGTTGTAATCCATGTGATGTATCACGGAGAGTAATCAAAATTGGTCCAGATGGATCTTGTCCTGTTCTTTGGACATTTAACACAACGTATTGGACATCTCTTCTTAATGTTGATTGTCTTCTATATATCACATTTGCCCAATTTGTTTGTTGTTGATTTTGTTCCTAAAAGCAATAACGTTATAATCGTCAAATTTTTCTAAATAGAAATGATCCCAGATTGATTTTTTTTGTATTTCTTACTTGGTTTGATGGGTTGTTCCTTCTAAGTGGTGATCTCGATCGGGTACTTTCGATACTACTTGTACTTTGCGAACTGTCACTTGACATTTTCGTAAATTTTATATTGTCCGTATTTGTTTGTATTAATATGTTTGTTTTCACGTTCAATTTAGAGTTTTGGTGCGTGGTATTGAAACCATAGTAACTTCTTTTGAAATATAACAATGACACTTTGTGTTGGATGGAACGATGTTTTTCTAGTGGACGGAATATTTTGTAAATAATTGATGTGTATACATAGGTGTGATGTTACTTAACCAAACTTAACGTAATGTTTTTTTATCAAACCTATATTGTTACAATGCGGTGGACGGAATGGGTGGACGGAGTGTGACTAACGGACAAATGCTAAGCTGACTTAGCGTAACATGTGGACGGAAATGGTGGACGGAACGTGAATAACAAGGTGGACGGAATGGGTGGACGGACCGTGACTAACGGGCAAATTCATAATGTGCCACAAAATGGTGGACGGAATTGGTGGACGGAAATGGTGGACGGAAATGGTGGACGGAAATGGTGAACTCAAATGGTGGACGGAATGTAATATCGTGAAATCCTTAGAATGCAAGGGATGGAATGCGTGGACGGAGCGTGACTAACGGACAAATCCAAATTAACGAAACCTTAGATGGTGGACGGAAATGGTGGACGGAACGTAAGGCGCGACGGAATGGGTGGACGGAGCGTGACTAACGGACAAATCTAAAATATTAAACGTAAGATTGTGGACGGAAATGGTGGACGGAACGTAAGGCGTGACTAACAGACATCGGCCGTCGTTTGTCGGCGAGTAGCGCTACGCTGAGTTCGCTCGCTGGCGCTCGCGAACTCGCTCCGCGAACAAACTGAACCAGTTGAGCTAGGATAGTGAAATTTCGCGTGTGCCGAGCCAAGGACATGCCCAAAAAGTGCGCAAAATCTCACCGAGATCGGCCGAGCCGTTCAGGAGGAGTAGTGCGGACACACACGCACACACGCACACAGACAGGAAAAACTTCTCAACCCCAATGGAGTAACAGGCTTCGCTATCGCTCAGCCAAAAATCCAGTAAGATTTCACTGGATCCAGTATAATCTTGCAGGATCCAGTTAGGCGTCACTGGATCCAGTGCCAGTCTCCCTGGATCCCCACTCTAAATGTCTTACAAGGTAGGTTTACGCCAGACCGCGTCTTGTCGTAACAGGCTTCGCGATGTCTCGCTGCCTGTTTCTCCAATCCGCGCCTGGCGTACCTACCTTGGCCTGCGGCGCTAGTCTGCCTTCGGCAGGCAATGGCTTGTCCATCGTCGGTTACTTCTTACTTGGTGCATGCTGGGGGGCTCCGCCCCCCAGACCCCCCCTTTCTAAGGCAGAGGTGATCTGCCTGCAGAAAACTCGATTTTTCGCCGTTTTTTAGGTGTTTTTCGGCTATAAAAACTGAACCAGTTGAGCTAGGATAGTGAAATTTCGCGTGTGCCGAGCCAAGGACATGCCCAAAAAGTGTGCAAAATCTCACCGAGATCGGCCGAGCCGTTCAGGAGGAGTAGTGCGGACACACACGCACACACGCACACACGCACACACGCACGCACACAGACAGGAAAAACTTTTCAACCCCAATGGAGTAACAGGCTTCGCTATCGCTCAGCCAACAATGAAATTTGATCTGTTTTTCGTATGTTACAGTGAATTCGGCGCAAGCATAATACGAAGCAATATTCCTTCGTAATACGAATCTTTTTAGCTTTTTCATTGTAAGATACAAAGAAAAACCTTCGTAATACGAAGAACAAGCTAGGGCCCGCCGGCCCAGCTTGGCCTGCCGGCGGCCTTTCCTCGGGCCTTTGGCCCTCGCATCAGACCCAACTTGGCCAGTCGAAGGCCCGGGCCTTCGGCCCGCTCGCATCACACACACCGTGAGCGGGTAAAGCAAAGTTATCGATGTACCATCGTGACCTTGGCCCGCCCTTCTATTCACAATATGCAAAAGTCCTTACACTCTTTACTCCAACTGTCCTTAGAATATGCCCGTTTCATTTGTCTCTTCGCCCTCATTCCGAAAATACCCATATTTGCTATGCTACTGCAACTCCTTGCAATAGAGGCACAGCAGGAGCGCAAAACGAGTCCGTCGCACTTTTTTCCATAACTCATGAAGGCGGGCTCCTGGACCCTTCTTCCGACCCCTCGTTGAAGAGGTCTTGCTAAGACCTATCGAAAACTTAAATAAAAATTTTCAGTCGGTCGACCCCTTTTATTCAAGATCCTGATGTGTCTAATAGACGAAGTCGGGCTTCTGGACCCCGTTTCCGACCCCTCGTTGAAAAGGTCTTGCTGAGACCAATCGAAATCTGCAATAAATTTTTTTAGTCGGTCGACCCCCTTTTTTGAAGATCCTGATCTGGCCAACTTGTAAAAGCGGCCGATGGGGTCGGGACCAGGTCCATTCATCTTGTCTCGTCGCCCCGATTCCAAAAATACCCCTATGTGCCCTGCTAGCACCAATTATGGCGGAAATCCCCCTCCCGCTCATGTAAACCATGATGCAACTGCAGCAGCCCTTGTGCGACCCGGACGGGATTTGCACCACCGGATTATTTGTATGGACGGTACTCCTGAAGTACCCTCCAAATCTGGTTACTCTAGCTCAACTCCTTCCTTGTACACAGACGCCAACAACAACAACAACAACAACAACGACGACAACAACAACACAGACACAAAGGCAAATGCATAGCCCCCCCCTATTTTTTGAATAGAAGGGCGGGCCAAAAACCACCTTCGTATTATGCTTGCGCCATTTCCTTCGTAATATGGGAAATTTCCTCGTAAGACATTTAGAGTGCCGTCAGACTTCTCCGGATCCAGTGCGGCTGGGTGATTCCGCGCGTAGAGGGCGTTTTCGTGTCCACACCCTCCCCAGACCGAACTTATTCGAGTGCAGTCCATTTATACACTTAAGAATCTTGTTTGGCACTAGAATAGCTTGTTCCCTTTGTAT